CCAGTGCAAGTGAACACCATATTCAATTCAATTCAATTCAGTTCAATTCAATTCAATTTTACTTTAATAGCGCCAATTCATAACAGAAGTTATCTGAGGACACTTTTCAAAATAGAGCAGGTCTAGACCGTACTATATGTGAAGGGAATGTACATGTATTTGAATGTATCTATTGGCCTTTTGCGACCAGAAGAACCTTTCAAGGAACATTACCTGTTTTAACTGGAGGCCAAGAACTACATTAGAGCTCTAAATGTAGTTCTTGGGCTGCAGTGCCAACACACTCTCATCCCAGGTCATCAAATATCAATGTTGCTTTGGCGCGTCTCTTACAGTTGCTAAAGGGTGCCTTGTGTGTGAGACGCTAAAGGAGATAACAAAACTTCGGCATTTGACACTACTTTCCAACTATACATGAACTAATAGCATGGAATTTGCTGTACTAGTAAATGCTAATACATGTGAAAAGTATTTATTGAGATTGAAAACAAGCACAGAGTTCCTCTGGTATTGATGTTAGGATGTGGGATCGAAATATTTCATTCATATTTAAACAATGTAGAAAAATTGTCAATAAAACAGCAACATATCAAGAGAGTGGGTGACTGTGATTGACAGAGTGGACAGGGGAAAGATCATCTATTTCCTAATGGTTTTAGTGTGGTTAAACATAAAGTTAATACATAATCCCTTTCTACTTCACCTCCTAACATCTCCTTTGCAACATCGGTGCAAACATCAGTATGTTTTAGCAGTAAATCACAAAGAACAAGATGAATCTGTGTCTTTGTATTCAAGTCTTTTCACCTGCAAAATGTTTGTCTCAACCGAAGTCGTTGCTTTTTAATCCATTGTTGATCTAATTTCCCTACACGGGTTTTAGATGCCCTTGAAAAGGCAAACAGGAATGTGGGAATTTTAGTTTCAGATCTAGTTCTTGAGTTTTGTTCTCAGCGTCCTAGTTTCCTGGGACGCCTTTGCATGGGTCCGTGTTTATATCATTGTATTTGTGCAACTGTGTGTACCTAATTAACCACAAAAAGCCTCTGATCCTTGGAAAAACATGACTTCTGTGCTAACAACAGCGAATGGCTGTCCTTGGTCGGGCACAAAAGGCTGACGCTTGGTTTGTGAACTGACAGAGAACAGTGTTGCGCAACCTTTTAACATACATTAGAGTCTGGGAAATTGATTTTTAGAGGAAAACGTGTTTGCACATGAAATGCACGCTATGCTGCGGTGGCTTTCTACTGATCCAGTGGATTTACGTCGCATTAATGTTAGGGTTAATGCTGGGTGTATGTGCATATGGATGTGTGCGAACGTGTACTTCTGTGCTTTGTAACTTTCTGATGTGTCCTTGTCTCTTTATGCATATATTTGTATATACTCGTGTATGCTATACTAGGTGTGTAAGTGTTGGTTTCTCTGTGTTTGCTTATATATGTAAGATTTTGTGAAAGAGAGAGAGAGAGAGAGAGAGAGAGAGAGAGAGAGAGAGAGTATGTGTGTGTGCGTGTGGGTGCATGTGAAATCCCATTTCCATAGCTGAGAAAACACCTGAGCTATGGAGATGGCTATACAGCTAGTTCAAAAAGAAAACACACACACACACACACACATACACACACCGTGCTAAACCCCACTCCGTATTGCATACTGGATTTACCCAAGCTCCTTCTCCCCGTCTTTGATCCCTCAATCTGTATGTCTCTTTCACTGTCGTCTTAATAACTTTCTTCTCTCTCAGCACCTCAGTCTCTGCTCTTCCTCTCTCTTCTCTTCAAGCTATTAAAAACGATCCTCACCGGAACCATTCAGACTCCTGGTGCCACAATCCCTTTTCAAAAGCCTGAAAGGTATTGGAACATGTCTAAATGTTGGATTCTTACTTTAAAAATCAAATGGTTCCTATTCATTCATTAAGTGATTAAATTCAGCCAACCCTTGGAGGACACTTCAGATAAAATGAGCAACATAATGGACTCAATGGGAGTGCTGAGTGTTACAATGGTAACGTGTAGAAACATATGAAGCTTATCAGATCACATGTATTTTCTAGTCAATTCTGGTGGGAATATTTTCTGTGCACTATTTTTATTTGTTTGTTAGTCTTTGTTTTTCTACTTGTTTTGTTGGGACATTTATCAGTCTGTGAGACTTACATTCGTTTTCCTGTCTTGAGGCAAATCAGAGGTTTAATAGGAATTTTTACAGAGGAAATCAACTAAGTGTGGTCTCTTTTTAATTATACAGCTAGCTTTGGTATTGTATTGCTAGACTGAAAATAATTAAAGCATTGTAATGAATGAAATGCGGTCACATTCAACTAAGAAAGTTAGTCAGAGGAGAATTGTCTGACAACTAGAATCCGAATATCTCTGATGAGTTTCAGTTTGTCTTCATGCCATTTAATATTCAAGAAGTGCTTTGGTAGGATAAAAAACATCTTAAAAATATCAGCAGTACATTTCAGCTCGGATTAAACTAGCAAACAAACAAACACATATTGTAAAAAGAAATTTCCTGTTAAGGAACTGGCAAATATTCTCATTTTAATTTTCCTCTTTAACTTGTTTATTTGTCTCCCTTCCTCCAACCCTCCCTCAGTTTACACTCTCTTCCATCCCTTTACATATACTCCCTGTCTCTATTTTTCTATACATTAGTATTCCAATCTCCTGTCTCTCGTTCTTTGGCCTTGGATGGTGATCATGATGAAGATAATGATGATGGAAACATGCATGGTGGTCAATTTGAAGGTCCTCCGTTCACTAATTTACTGCTTCAATCAATAAAATAATTGCGATGCTCAGCATGATGCGTAAACAGCACCCAACACTGCTATATGATGTATTTGGATGGATGGATGGAGGAAAGGAGGGATGAAATGGGAGAGTGTAGTACTGGTAGAAGGAAAATAGAGGATTTATAGAGGGAGTAATCTACCTACAACTGGAAAGATTAATGGATGAATGAATGGAAGAAGGGTTAATTGAATCAATTACACTAGAAAAGAAGAGATGAATGTAGACAGGGATGGGGGGATAGAAAGGTGCATGGAAGGATTAACAGATATGAGGAAATGACCAAATGGGCAATGTAGGGATTAATGGACGAGTGGGTGGACGGATAGATGGGACGAATGGACACATCATCCTGCGAGGTATGGACAAATGTGAGCAACGGATGGATAAAAGGAGGAAAAAATCAGGAGCAGAGGTGTGGTCAAAGGAGGAGGGATGGTCAGGCAGTAGATGGAGGGAGAGATGATGGATGGATAGATGCAATGAAAATAAAACGAGAAGAACAAAAGAGGGATATATGGGTGGTTGGGGAGATGACTTAACGGAAGAAAGGAGGAATGACTGAGTGGATGGAAAGATTGAAGGATGATGTGAGAGAGGGTTGAGTGTTGGATAGATGGACAGAGAGATAGAGTAGGGGTCAACAGATGGATTAACAGATGATAGAAGGATAATGTATAGAATGATTGATGAAATAATTTTTTTCATTCTTCTATTCCACGTGGTTTTACTGCTGTATCAGTTTTATCATTTATCATTTGTTCTAATATATGTAGTGTGTTTTCTAGGCCTATACTTTATGGATTTATTGTGAACACCAGATTTTTCTTCACAGTAATGATGAAAGTTTTGTTTTACATTTCTTGTCTTTCTATCTAATTGTACAGAGAACAGATGGTTCGACAAAACGCTAACGTCATTCTGTGAAGATGTATGACAGCAAATCTGCGCCATTGCACAAATCGCTCAAGCGTTCTTTTGCATTCTGCTTCATCATTCCTTGATGTGCGTCAGCAATCGGTACAGAAACCTATGCAGCCAGTTACAGTAAACTCGCTTAAATGTGCACATTGTTAGAGAATATGGATATCTTTCTCTCCATGCCTCTTTCTCTTTTGACCACTTTTCTGTAGTCAGACGGTTCTTCTCCAGCAGCATATTGGGTGTCTATGACAGTAATTTCTCTTTAGAAATGTCTGGCCCTCTGTTTCCTGGGCAGTTAACACATGTGCTCAGCAGGTATAACAGTTATTGAGCTGATAAACAACAGTGTGAAAAGATACACTTTTGGAAAGAGAGGAGAGAGGCAAAGAAGAAGGAAAAGAGAAAACAAATGGCAAAAAGTCAGCTATGTATGTAAAAATGAAAATAAATACTAGAGATGAAAAAACAGAGATATGGAATTAAAATAATTATTTAATAAAATAAATTAAGAAAGAAGTAGTTTGAAAGACATGTAGAGGTAAAGGAGGGAGAGGGGGTGGCGTGACAGTGGACACGATGACAGGGATAGGGAAAAGAATGGGCAGAGTGCAGGAGGGAAGAAGGCAGGAGTGAAAAGGAGGAGGATGGATGAGAGGAGGTGTGGCAGGAAGATGACGAGGTGGCAGCTGGCTGATAAGTATTATCACATAAAACAGAAACACTCCCGTAAAGAGAGACCTGCACACAAATGTCACTATGGCACTTATGCCTCTGTGCGTGTGTGTGTGAACGTGAGAGAGAGAGAGTGTGAAATTATCTAGTAGTGCAAAGACTGGCCACACACACACACACACACACACACACACACACACACACATACATGTTACACTTTGGCAGAGGCCAGAGCCAATCTCCTTGGCAAGGAACTGGTCAATCTGGCCAACAGAAGGGGATAGAGGGAGGAAAAATGAAGAGAAAAAGACAGAAAGAAGGTAGTGGAAAATGGTTTTGACATTTCATTTTGCCCATGTGTAAACCCTGTGTGTGTATGTGTGTTTGTGTGTGTGCATCCCCATTTGTGATTGCACATGAAGTATATGAATGAAGCTTTCCATGTGCATTGTGGACTGCATGTTCCCCTGATGTGTGTGAAACTGCCTTTTTGTTAACTTTTATTATTTATTGTAGCATTAATTGATAACTGAGAGAGATATGGACAAAAGTAAAGATTGGGAGGAAATTGAAGTGAGACAAACAGTTTTTACTCACCTATAGAAGTTGTGGCTGGAACTGGCTCTTTGGACACTGCACATGCAATATGACACACAAAAGGAAGCACACATTCTCAGTCAGTAAAAGCAATAACATACTGTCAAAATATATGCCATATTGGGTCTTTAATTATGCTTTTTTAAGGAAGTAAAAACTTTTGTAATATTGACCATAAAGGCACTGTCTGTAGGGTTGAGAAACACAAGCATGAATTACTAACTAGATGAAGAAAGAGGGCAGGTTTTAGTCAGTTAGCTGAGAGCTAAGGAGCATTAACATGTTCTACAAGTGATAACGTGCAAAATAACGCAAACATTGTACTGTAGTCAGAGTACTCGTAACAGAATCAAGGAGCTGTTTCTACACAGTGTCATTTATAGGGATAGTTTGTCCAGTTGCACTTACAGCTGCAGGCAACTCCACTACAGCCATAAAATTGTTTCGCCTAAAGCATCTACAGATGTTATGTGTGTGCGTGTGTGAGTGTGTGTGTATACAAGTGTGTACCCGAGTAGTAGGAATTCAGCAGGGATTTGCTCTGCAGTGTCTTGCTTCCCTGCACAGAGAAGGAGCAGGGAGAGGGGGAGGCTGGGGAGGAGACAGAAGGGAGGAGAGGTGAAAGGAAGGTGAGTAAAAGGATGAGGAAACAAGAGGAAAAAGGGGAGAGGGTATTAAAATATGGAGAAAAAAGGAGGGAGGTTGGGTAAAAAATGAAGTGTGGGACAGGGTAGGAAGGTAAGGGGGTAGTGTAGGAGGTGAACGGAGAGAAAAAGTGAATATAACAGGAGGAAGATGAAGAAAGATGAGAACAGAGGATGTGTGAAGGGAAACAAGAGGAGGAAGCAGGATGTGAAGAAGACAATAAAATGAAGAGGACAGGGGGGACAGAAAGTAAAGCACAAATCAGGTGAAGGACAAAAGGGAGAAGCCAGAGGAGAGGGAAGAGGAGAAGAGGGGTGGGTCAGTGAACTCAACAATCAATCATCGCAGGACACAATTAACAATAAAAACATATACAAAGGATGATCAATACGCCATATTCAACAGCACAAGACAATCCAATAACACTAATGGCACCATCAATGCTACTGATATTGAATTTTAAAGCATAAAAGTGGTTCCGTCTCAATGAGTGCGCACTCAAATATGACATACTCTCAATGTTCGTCAATATATACAATTACATGACTTTGTGGCTCGTATGAACAATGATGGCTCAAACTAAATGGCATGAACCAATGGCAAGGGACAGAGCATGATATAAAGTGGAGAACAGGGTGGAATATAAATCCAGTGGACATACAATTACATAAGTAATACTCATCATCACACCCCAGTTATGACACAAGCAATCGAACAATATTAACATTATGAATCAAATGGATCTCACTTATTCTAGGGAATAACAACATTTGTCCCACTAACCCAGGTGGCCTAGCACACCTTGAGCAGTTAAGTACCAAATAGAGCCCCCCCTCACTGATCAGCTTAAAATTACCTTTGTGTGGCATGAGGACTCCTTGTTGTCTACATAAGGATCTGTGAGTCTCTAGAACAGGTTCTGGGCTCCTTGGAATACATTTTTTCAAGTATCTCCCATCTGGATATAAAGGCCTCATCCTGGTATAATTGATCACTGTAAACAACTTTCAGTGACCCATCTGTATAAGTGGACAAATAGACCCATATGGAAACATCGTTGTTTTATTTTCCAGTTTTCCAGTATGTAGGCTATTTCTGTCACTCTGTTAGTCAGCTAGTCTGGAAGGTAGCGGGCAGTTACCTAATCAAAAAACCATTTACTCAAACAGCTTTAAAACTGACATCTGCAGTCACGACTCAAGAACACTTCCTATGGTAATTTGTTAAAAAATGACATATGTTTGTGTCATTGTGATGGGGATCAGACTTGCTCGAAGAAAGTGATTGTGGTGCACCTTTTTCTTGTTGTCTGTTTTTTTTATTTTTTTTTTTGGTCAACTAACTACCAGTGGTTGATCAAACTGTTATTGCTAGTTCAAAAAGGCTACTGTTAGAAGCAAGTCAACAGAACCAAATAGAAAACAGAATAGAGCTGAGCTGATACATCATTGCTTATGAATGTGACTCACTAACAGGTTCTAAGTAATTTCCCCCTGAGATTATTAAAGTATTTCTGATTCTGATTCTGATTCTGATTTCTTAAATAGTGACTGATATTACTACGTCCATGCAGACACACTATCTCCTACATACACACACAGACTGCTAGGGGCTATTAATAAATGATATCTAGGATAGACACACACACACACACACACACACACACACAATAAGATAAAACCTTGGGGGATTGCTGGGAGACTGACTGTGACATATTATATGCTAGCTCATCCTGTTCAATAATCCACACTAGATATCACAGCTAGCCTACATTTATCTATAGGACTGGCAGCTAGTTGGTGTGTGTGTGTTTGTGTGTGTGTGGGTGTAGTCACCTAAAAGTAATTGTCATTTATCTATAGGCTTTTGGCAGGCCATTAGTACTCATGCATGTCAGCATATACCGTACAGTAGTTTTGCATGTGTTCATTTGTTTTGTGTATTTCAGACCCCTGGTGGTCCAAGGTGGTGGCCATTAGTGGAAACAGGAAAGTAATCTCTCCTCCACTTGCCTTTGTACTCAATGATATGATATCATTTCAGCTTCTCCGGTGGCATTTTTCTCTGCACTTCATAGATTAGTTTTAGCTGTACATTAGGTATCCAGTGTATTTTCGGTATTATTTGGAGTAGTTGAACTGCAAACTCTGATGCCGTTTTGGTAGGGAAGTCCCAGTCTGCTAATTAATGTCTTTTGGCCAAGCAGACTACTATCTGATATGAAAAAAACACAACCAATAAGAAATACAAGGGAATACAGGGATTGCAAAACATTTACCATGATGGGGGGGTAATTTGAGACACATTCTAGCTAGCTGTTGAAAAGTGTATTTTGCTAATGCTAAAAAGCCTCTCCGAGCCCATGTTACTCCCAAGTGTAACTTCGTCACTAAGTGGACTGTGGAAGTAGCCACTTACAGCATCTTCTCTCTGTGATAATGGTAGCTGAGGTGACACTAAAATTAGCCATCTTTCTCCCTGTCACATTAAAGTGATAGAAAGAAAGCGGCTTCAGAGATGTGTCTCTTGTGTGAGAGCAGCATGAATGAGTGCTTGTGATGCTGGGCAGAAGAATAATGGTCCGTCCATGTGACTCGTCCATGTGTTTCTTTTAGCTGTTAGCTATATCTTGCTACACTGTTGTCATCTGGATACGAAAATGAAAATGAAAATGAAACATTTCTGGTCAATTCTGCTCCTTCCTGTCACCAGTAGTAGAAGTTTTTCACTTTAGCTTTATAAAATGAAATGGATTTTCTTACTAGTAACCCCAAAAGCTCTAACATAGTTTTCTGTGCAGACAGCACTCTTTTCCTGTTTCTCACCATAAAACAACCTAGAAGGTGTCTAACCAAATAAACTTCAAAATAAATGGCAGTATGAAGGCTGACACAGACCTCACCCAGTGTTTTGTGTGTCATTTACTGATGTCTTAAAAATTCATGTGATGACAATTTCCTGATGTGAAAATTATCCATGTAGCAGCCCTCTTGCCTAATTCTCATTCATATTCTGTTTGCTCTACTGTTTTCTGGTACAATAGCCCAATTTCCCTACATGGAATAATTTAAATTTTATCTTCTCCTCCTCTCTCCGTTGTCCTCTCTTTCTTGCCTCTCTCCTCTCATCTCCCCTCTGCTCCCCTCTCCTAATACCTCCAAACACAACATATTTTCTCCTCTTCTGATAAAATCCCTCTCGTCTCATGCGTACCGGCACTGTATGCTAATGCGCCTCAAAAAGAAGCTCAACTTTAATACAGTGAGGAGTGTACCTGCATACCAAAAGAAATCTGCTTTGACAGCAATGTCCTGTGAAGATAACTGGTGACTGGGTGAGAATGCAATAACACAAAAAGGTTATTTGCTCCGCGAGGGTCCATCCACGGAAATATTATTGGGTCCCCTACCTTGTGTCAGCGTTTTTTCTCTGTCTCATTAGGACTGAGCCTGGATTGGTGACTGTGTGTGAACGTGTGTGCTCTGTTTCCTTTTCTTTTTCAAATATTAATGTGATAAGACAACTATGACAGAGAGAGAGACTAGTTCATGGAACCAAGTTTAACAGACCTGACAAGTAATTCAATTTTAAACAACAATCTAATGAAAAGTGTAGAAAGAAACACAGCAAAAGAGGCAGAATTATATTTTTTGTCATAGTCCGTCCATACAATCTGCATAGACTGATAGACAATAGTGCAGTGTCTCTCTGGATTAAATGGCATACCGAATTAGACATATTTTTCAACATTTACCCAAAGCTGATTAAAAAAGGAGAGAGCACCTTTCAAAAGTCCAAACTTAATTTCACATAAAAAGACCCAAATTCTATTTGAATGCCAAAACTCTATTTTTGGCCCTAAGCAAGGTTTAGGCAACTCTGCCTGGAAGTTTTAAAGTAACCATTACGTTATCATCTTTCCAGTTCCCAGAAGATACTAACCTTTTTTTTCTAAATTATCTAAATGCCAAAGCTTTTACTTACTGTATAGACTCAACCAAAGTGAACTGAGTTCTAGTTGGAAGAAAAACAATGTTGAATATCTTGAATACAACAAGTTTATGAAACACCCAAGGTCGAGAAGAAAGTAAGCTCCTTCCCTATATGTTGTTCCCTATAAGTTTATCTGAAAGCCAATGAAATAAAAAAATGAATATCACAGCTTTCTTATACATCCAAGGTCCAGATAACAGCAGTCTAGTCTAAGTGTTTTCAATGCAGAAACATTATTTTATGTCAGAATTGCCACATGTACAGTTAGAAGAAGAGTGCGGGCAATTACGGCTGTCATCAGCTTGCTACTTAGTCCCTCTCCAGCAACCCTGGCTTTCAATGGCCAAGCACTCCCAAAAGGCCAGCCTGACATTTTCAAGAGAAAAATGCCCTTCTGAGGGGCCCTGTCTAATTACCCTGGACACACACACACACGCATCATTTTACAAAGAACAGGAATATACACCCACATGGCCTCACAAATATGGGCAGGCTGATTGTTATGAGATTGCAGCTGAAGATACACGCACACGTGAAACACCCACTGCAATATGCATAGATGTACTTGCATGTGTATGAGGCAGCACAGAGCAGAACCAGTTCAGAGGAAAAGAGCTGAAAATAATTACAACTGCACTAAGTAAGATGGGGGCTAGTGAAGCAGTACAACATGCTGCTGATATTGGTGAAAGAGGAACATATGGAGAGTTTTATTGTAAAATGAGATGTCCACTATTTGAATAAATGAATCTGACAAAATGATTAATGGCACAGAGACACAGTATATGTGTCTTTTTGAGTTGAGACAAGGGCAAAAGAAACTTTGCTAAGTGAGACAAAAGTTAACTTACAGCTAAATTTATTACATAAGGCAAATTCGCTTTGCTGTATTCTACCATGGTTATATATTTAGGGATTCAATTTGGACAGTATATTCTCTGAAGGATCTCCATGATGGTGCCAGTTGGTAGATTTAGGATGCACCAAAAGCACAGAGGATTTTGACTTACTGAATCCATTGAGGTCCTGGTTGGAGGTGGAGAAGGGGTCGTCTTTGTGCAGGGTGCTGACTTTAGTGGTGCTCTTATCAGCTGTGGTGACTGGACCCATCTCCCTCTGCTGGGTGGAGCTGCTGGCAGTCTCCTTCTGCTTCTTCGCCAACTTCCTACGGTGGTGTGAACACACGGACGCAAACAAAAATACACGTAAAGGCACATACGTAAGCACGGACAGGAACATGCACGCACACAGGTATATTTACACATATAGACACACATAAAAATGTGTAAACCCATGTGCAGCACCCACACAATCACACATTAACAAACAAACATACATCACAAAAATTACTGTCAGGGAGATTATTTATGGTGAGAACTGCAAGCATAAGAGAACTATATTTCTTTATAACATACAGTGAAAAACACAAAAGAGACAAAATGGCCACACGAGGATGAGCATTGTGTTTAATGCATTGCCATATCCAAAAGTTCAAACTACATTTTTGCGTTTAATCATATATTTTTAACAGTCTAACTTGTTGAGCAGCCATATACCATTGCTTTGAGCAAATTATAGCGTAGACCATTAAGGCAATGGTTAAACTTCTAATTTATAGTTATACCACTGCTTTTAATTGTCTGTTTCATGGTTGTTGATTTGTCTTTATTTAAGATAAAATATATTTTTGATCCTATAAGTAAAAATAAAGACCTACTGTGTGTAATTTTTGGTTCTATGGTGAGTCAGAATTAGGTAACAAGCTACATGGATAATGGACTCATCGATCTGTGGGGCAGAGATGGCTCAGGTGGTAGACCTCGTTGGTGGTTGTCTGCTGGTCACAGGGTTGGCAGTTTGATTCCCACTACCTCTTACCCAGATGGTTAGGTGTCCTTGAGCAAGATACTGAACCCTGCAATGTTCATCAGCCACTAATTTCTGATACAAAACCCAGATAAATGAAGAGGGTTGAATAGGGAAGGGCATCCAGCGTAAATAATTTCAGACAGTCAATCTCTACCTGTATCTCATACAGTACATCATACTGTAAAATCAAATTCATTTTTTATATTAAAACTGTACTGGCACCAGATCAACCACAGTATCTAAAAAGATACATTTTATATTATAATTTGTCATCAAGTGCAAATATTGATATCAATTGTTCTGTAAAACCACACTAACAGTACTGACTGATTTACATTACCATAGGCTTACCCAGTCCCACATCCAGTTGTTTTGGACAGTAAAAGATGCTTAATTTGCAAGATCACTAACATTCCAAGTAACAAATGGGGAGACCCAATAACTGACTGTTGGAACAGCTTTAAATTAGAAATCAAGAAAAAAAGGTAAGATTTTTTTTTCTCCAGAGCAATTAGAGCAAAGCAAGGACAGGCGATATTATTCATTGGGGAGAGGTTGACATTCAGTACTTTGGTAACATGTGGGGCTTCTACAGTGGCTATATATAATGGTAACTGTAATCGTGTGACCGCTGATGAGGTGTCCATTGAGTGTGGTTGTATTCTTAGGATTTTTTTCTCCCGTTCACTGTTCACATGTCACAACTCCCATCTGTTGGCCATTTTGTGTTGGCTATATTGAGTTCTACCTTTTCTACCTTCAGTTTTAAGTCCACTGAGACACCAGATGGCAGAAACGACAGCAAGCCATTACAATCTGACATCAACTGGTAAATTCACCAGAGCTTGCAGAAGTACCACCATAAAGCAGTTTTTTACTGTCTTGTCCTGCATGTATTGCCTTACAACTACCTCCAGAAGTCAGAAATGTTCTATGAACCTCAGCATACTGGAAATGATAATTAGTGTGTCTCATTTTAATGTGAGTATGATCACTGCATACAGAAAGCACTGCTGCCTTCAATAGACTGAAACAATGTAAAATGCTATGAATGTTAATTCAGGAAATATCACATGACCAAGTTGTATTGAAGTATTTGTTATCAGGTGGTCATTAAGCACTGGTAAATGTATCACAAGAAATAGACTAATGAAAAATCCATTACAAGAAGTGAATAAAGGAAGCACTGTTTGTTTTTGTTAGCAGCCTGGATATGTTATTAATCACAGAATGTTTTGGATAAATGGACATTACCGCTGGTATTTACACTTTGTCAGCCATTAAAGGGGAACTTACTGGTGATTAACTAGGACATTTTGGGCTATACAGGTTGTTTAGGGCCGCCATTGGTTTTAGTCACTCTAAAACAGGACCATTTAATCTGGGGAGGAGGAGCAGGTTCAGCCCAACCAGCATGATTTCTGACAGCACAAGGTCATTTATCAGCATAGTGAGCATTCAGTGTAGATCTGTATCTTTAGTGTTCCAGAAATCTCATATTTACCAAACTAGACCAAACTGCAGACACAGCACCTGTTTCAGTTCTCCCTTTGACAGTTGCTGTACACATTGTAGGACATTATCAATGGAATGGTTCAGACAAGTGCATCTTACAAGAGCTGTAATTTACATCTGTCATTGAAGTACACTGATAAAAATCCAAATATAATTTAGTCATTCAAGAGAGATAATGGATTTCCGCAAAAAATTCCATGTACACTGCTTCAGTGTCATGCAAAATTGATTTTTTAGAATTTCACAACCCTGGATGAGGAAAACCTGCCTTGTACTTTACTAATGCCAGATTCCCTCTATTGTGTTATCATAAAAAGCTGACATTAAGAGCCACTTTAATAAGAGTAGTGTTTCCTAAAATATCACTTTCAATTATAAACATTTGCCTATAAGAAAATAAATATATTTTTACTTTGTCTGTAGAGAGGCCTTTAAAGAACGTGAAACACAAATGAAATCAACAGCTTTGTGACCTTTGTGGTTTAAGAGCAACTCATGTACACAAATATTGACTGAGACCTTGCAGATTAAGGGAATTACATGAATTACTTTTTAACGAGCATTTTCCTTTTATGTGTGACCTGTACTTTCCCACTAAGGATAACACAAATATATCTTGATCCACTAGCAGACTGCAAAGCATGATGTAACCTTGAAAAACATTATGCCCTAAGTGCTATCTGTTGATCTGGGGGTTGCAGTGAAATCCAAGGAGAGCCAATAAACACAGTGGGTTTCCTTTATTTTTCAAAATAGCTCTAAATGGTTTCTTTATAACTATAATAGTTATAATATGTAACTGCAGCTCTCTGTGGTAAATATCATGCCTGTGTGCAGTAATGGCTTATTAGTTAGTTATTTTGCTATTGAAGGAGCAGATCAGAGGATTGTCTTGTTCTCTCTCATCAGTGCTTGTAGTCTAACATATAAGGTAGTGCAATGGATGCTAAAGCATTTCCATAGACCTTCTTCCTTAGGATGTGTTCAATTTTTGACTTGGCAGCTGCTAACTGGTAAATTGTCTAGTAAATCATTCTCTTGGAAATGGTGTATTGAGTATCACTTAAATGATTACCAAAGCAAATTACCTGACACTCAGCAGCACAGTCCTATCAAACAGTCAACAGATAAATTAGTACATTTTTGGCTGAAATGCACTACAACCACATGTCAAAGCATTCAGTGTTCACAGAATTTCCCTTGAATTCCAAAAACAACACATTCTGTTCCAGTGTGGCCCTTGCTCGGTTAGCCATATTGCTGTAATGCAATACAAAGGGGAAAAAAAGAAGGGCATGGTTCTATTTTCTATCTGGTATCAGCAGTACAGGTCAAAGGGTCAGCTCTCCATATGGTAAGAGAAAGCCATTACAGCATGCAAAAAGCTATTTTATGTGAGGGATTCCCATATGTGCGACTCACCAGCAGTAAATCTCGTAATACATTTTCTCTGACAATGGTAGCTGAGAGAAAAAGCTGGCTGACCCAAATGTAGATCCCCATGCAATTAGCTATTCCATGTGACAACTTTGTGTGTTTATATTCCTCTTATAGAAAAATGTTTAAAAGTTATCACTTAGAAGGTGTAGGGTGTTTTAGTTGTATTCATGGTTAAGGTTGAAGATATACTTTCATATTGCTATTTTTGGTTTTAAAGGTCCAGTGTGTAGGATTTTGTGGCATCTAGCGGTGAGGTTGCAGAATGCAACTAAATACTAGCCTTTCCCCCTTTCCTTCCGTGTGTAGGAGAACCTACAGCGGTCGTGAAAACGCATGAAAAACGAGAAAAGAAAGGCCTTCTCCAGAGTCAGTGTTTACTTTGTCAAATGTGCTTCAAAGTGGCAGTTGCAGTAGCACCGCACCCACTAGAATGACCCTTCACATCTACAGAATTAGTAGACCCGCTCTTTCTGTAGATGTGAAGGGTCATTCTCAAGTAATGGAAAACAGAGCCGACTTTAAGGTGATTATAAACTAATGAAAACACAAAGTATGAATATTATATTCCATTTATGCGATTCATTTCTGGCCCAATAGATCTCTTTTTCACTCATTGCAGAACCTTATTTTGACCTTTTTCAGAAAGTGTGTAGTTAACAAAACACTAACATCTTGAGAAATCGCTACTCTTTCCCACAAACTGTCAGAACAGAGCGACCCATTAATCAAGTTTCTCACAGTACGTACAAGCAAGCGTGTTTCACATCAGTGCATTGCTCGGTGCTTTTGCAGATGAACAATCACTAATGTGTATCAGTAACGCATCATTTTGAATTATTTTATTAGCTCCAGTTGAGTCATATAAAAATCATCTCACACTGCTTTTTCTCAAGTCAATATAAAAACTCCTCCTCAATCCACCAACAATTCTACTTAAACTTTGTGTCGGACATCCGGTGCACGAATGGCATGCAGTGGGGCTGTTGTGTGTGTTTTTGTGTGTGTGTGTGCACAAGCACTGGCTATAATGCGGGCATGTGTATGTGTGTACTTGTTTCTGTGAGCAAACACTTGAAGGCTGTGTAAGTACTGCATGTGCTGGACGTTCAGTGTTTTCGCCTGTGTGTGTGCTTGTACACGTGTCTGTTGTATTTGGCTGTTAGTGCACACTGGCCAGTGAGTGGGTGTGTTTCTCAGTGACCTATCACGAAGCCGCCTATACGCCTGTTTGTGTCACTGAAAAACTGCTCGATCCTGCATAGTCACTCCAAAAGGCAAATTACAAAAGCACAAATACTACTTTCCTTTGGACCATTAATCATACCTTCCCAACAATGACTT